GTTTATAAAATGTAGTCAAGTATCTGTTCTGAGTCCACCTGGGTGCCAAAACCCACATCAGTGCATTGCTAATTAGTTTCCATAAGCTCAAAGTTGTATCACACAACCGCAATGCCACAGTATGCAAAATACTGCTTCAAAGGGTCTCCGGAAAACCATATGTGCTCCTCTTTCTTAGCGCTAGTGGACATGGCCATCTGGTTTCCTCAGACACAAATAGCTGATTTAATTAACAATGAATCTGCATGTGGAATTCACAAAGTCAACCACATAAATCTAACTGGGAGCTCGCAAAATCAAACCATAACCCGCCTATCCCAATAGCTGACAAGCCCAACTTCATAAGAAGTAAGAAGGATTGCTGCTGTGGACAAACTCACAATAGCAAAATCAGATGGAATTATGTGAGAAAATCTATTTTGTACAAATCGTGACAGATGAAGGGACATTTGCTGCTCTGAAATGTCATAGTACTTCGAGCTGTAATTTATTTATTTTTTTTACGAAAGGCTAAAAGTAGGTCCTGGCAACGCAAAAGTCAGCTGTAAGTATATTACGGACATATCTGCAGTACCTTGATGTGAGGGTGACTGCTTAAACAGCAGACAACAAGATATGATGGAGAGGATCTAGAGCTTGCTCCTAAATGGCTCCAGAATACCTTCCTACAGTCCTTAAGCAATTAGGCAATTTACACGTTAAGTGGTCATGTCTTCATTAGGATAGAAAAGAAGAATCGAGCAAGAATCTCTTTGGCACATGTCATCTTACAGTACGAACCAGTTGGCAAGGAGTATCTAATGTGCAAAAATGATTATGATCAATTCAGGAGTTTCCGTTATATCCTTGTGCCAAGTACTAAGTTATGCAGATTCTTACTACAGACGATTCCTCAGCTTAATTTTGATGCCAAAAACCAAGATGAGAGCTGAAGTGAAGTTGAATTTGAATCGACAGCCATTATAAGGGCAATCTTTGGAAGGTGACTCATTTCACTGCAATAAGAGTGGTGTTTAATTTTCATACAGCAGTTCAAAAGCTGGCGTATTGTATTTGGTATCGACAATCACCCCACTTTGCTACCCTTCATCAACACATAATGAGTCTGATCAACTGGGCCGGCCTAGAGTATCATAAGAATACAGTCACAGAATTACACTGTTATCAGACCCAAGCCATCATGCGAGATACCTCTGGCTTTAGGCCATCCACACCCACACACATGACCACACAAAAACACCCACATAAACTCACAAAACACACTCAAGCACCTACAGCCGCCCTGAGATGTACGAACACCAATACAAAAATGCCTCCAAAGATATATACTAAATATACAAACACATACACAATATGGACAAAAGTATTGGGACACATGGCCATTACACCTACAGGAACTTTTATGACATCCCATTTTAAATCCGTCCATTCATTTTCTGAAACTGCTTGTCCTATTTAGAGTCCTGGGGGGGGTCTGGAACGTATCCTGGAAGCTATGGGTGCCTCCCCCTTCTTCTGAAATCCATAGGCATCAATATGGAGTTGGTCCCCCCTTGCAGCTATAACAGCTCCCACTCTTCTGGGAAGGCTTTCCACAAGATTTTGGAGTGTGTCTGCGGGAATTTTTGCCCATTCATCCAGAAGAGCATTTGTGAGGTCAGGCACTGAAGTTGGATGTGAAGGCGTGACTCACAATCTCCATTTTAGTTCATCCCAAAGGTGTTTGATCAGGTTGAGGTCAGAGCTCTGTGTGGGCCAGTCAAGTTCTTCCACACCAAACTAATCCAACCATGTCTTTGTGGACTTTACTTTGTGCACTGAGGCACAGTCATGCTGGAACAGGAAAGGGCCGCCTTCCTCAAACTGTACCCACAAAGTTGGAAGTATAGAATTGTGCAAAATGTCTTGGTATGCTGAAGCATTAAGAGTTCCCTTCACTGGAACTAAGGGGCCAAGCCCAGCCCCAGAAAAGAAGCGTGATTTGTTACTCCACAGAACATGTTTCCACTGCTCCAGAGTCCAGTGACAGTGTGCTTTACACCACTCCATCCAACACTTGGCATCATGCTTGGTGATGTGAGGCTTGCATGCATCTTGGCATCATGCTTGGTGATGTGAGGCTTGCATGCATCTTGGCATCATGCTTGGTGATGTGAGGCTTGCATGCATCTTGGCATCATGGTTGGTGATGTGAGGCTTGCATGCATCTTGGCATCAAGCTTGGCGATGTGAGGCTTGCATGCATCTTGGCATCATGCTTGGTGATGTGAGGCTTGCATGCATCTGCTTGGCCATAGAAGCCCATTCCATGAAGTACAGTTTTTTGCTTTTTTTTTTTTTTTTTGCTGGATTTGCTTAATTCCAGAAGAGGTTTGGAATTCTATTGGAGTTCAACAGAGCGTTGGCGACTTTTGTGCACTATGTGCCTCAGCACTCGGTGACCCGCTCTGTTACTTTACATGGTCTGCTACTTCATGGCTGAGTTTCTGTTGTTCCTAAATGCTTCCACTTTGCAGTAATAACACTTACAGCTGACTGTGGAATATCTAGCAGGGAAGAAATTTCACAAACTGACTTATTGCAAAGGTGACATCCTATGACAGTACCACGCTTGAATTCACTGAGCTCTTCACAACGACTCATTCTTTTCACAAATGCTCTTAAACCCGACTGCATGGCTAGATGTTTGATTTTATACACCTGTGGCAATTGGCCTGAATGAAACGCCAGAATTCAGTGATTAAGAGGTGTGTCTATGTATTATTTCTAGACCAATTCATCAGATGGTTTTATCAAAGGAGGTTAAAACAGGGAAAGCAGGGTCTATGAAGCATTTGGGGTTAAGTGCCTTACTAAGGGTCCCAATGGTAAAATCTCTCTACTGACTATGGGATTTGAACCAGTGACCTTCCAATAACAAACTTCTAAACTACAAAGCCACAAACTGACCCAAGTGAATATACAAATATTTAATATACAGTTCTATGATGACATACTGCAGTTTTCACGGACACACCTACCGCTGGTTCACTCCCATGTTAAACACACATTCCTACCACACATGCAGGGAATACTTTGTCCCTCTTTCCCTTTACAGGTACGTACCCCCACATCCAGCACACACACTGACTGCTCAGTCAACATTAAATCTTTCCTGGAAAAACCTATCCAGCAAAAGATGACCTTGAAGCTCTTCTGATTTGCGTAGGTAACGAGCCCAGAATCATCTTTCTGTACATTCCTGTGGCTTTGTGACACTTCTGTAAGCTCGATTTTCAAAGGGCCAGTGTTACATCTGCCTTCATTCTGACAGTTTAATCAAGACTTAATCAGGGAAAGAAAGAAACTCCACATATTCTCCAGGCAAACATTTAAGATGGACTGCAATGCTTCCACTTCTGGCCAGTGTTGCACAGCTTGGAATGAGAAGTTCAAGCATGGTATCAAGTTATTTTTAGGTGACACTTGCATAAAAATACATGAACGCCCTGCCAACTAAGCAAGTCTCTAGGGTCTACAGTTAGCCATTTCTCCATCTGGATGAGGTGAACGGATGGGACCGGGTGACATGAAACAGGCACGCAGCCCACTCTCGTTTCCTGAAACCAGGATATGGGTTACAGAGTATAGATTATGGGTTGCAGACCGTCTGACTGTAATTGGCCTGAATGGTATAAAGTGTTGTTATATACCTCTGCCCTTGTTCTCTATACCACAGTAGAACTGGTCTTCACACAGACCAGCGGTGGCCAATCTTATCTGCAATGGGCTGGTGTGTATGCAGGTTTTTGGGATAACCTGTAGGTCAGCTGTTCAAACCCAGGTGTGAGGACTCTTCAGCCAATCAGTCCTATAATTAGTAATCTAATTAGGGAGTTGTAGCGAAAACCCGCATATATACACAGCGCGGCCCTTTGCGGACAAGATTGGCCACCCCTGACACAGACTGTCGTAATTATACTATCCATGGTCCTGAAACATGTGTCTCCAGACTGGTTGTGATTTTTAAAAAACGGTGTTTAAGAAGCTGTATTTCAGCTTGACGATCCCATGGAGGAGTGTCATCAATAAGGAAGGCATCTCACACCAATCTGTATGCATCTGTAATTATGATTCCGTTTACCATTCACGATTTCCTAAATGTACAGACCCGCATCCTAAAGTGGACGCAGTGTCAATGGATTTTTATGATTTATATATGTTTCATAGAAGTAAGCTTTCTGCATCACTCTCTCTCACACTCACGCCCACACATTTAACTTGTTGCATGTACAGGAAATTCATTTTAAAACGTGAAACGATAGATGTGTTCACATATTTAGAGTTAGAGTAAACTCCTGCTCATAGTACGATGTCCCCAATGCAGGGCGGTCAGGGTACAGCACGGGGTTGTTACTGCGTAATGCGTATACAGATCAGACGGGCGACCAAGATAATGTTTATGCACCCCTGATACCACTGACAAGCCGTATTAATCCCACTTCCTCCAACCTTTACTACCCACGTAAGGAAAAAAACTCATCATTAACAACAAACAAATCCGAATTTCATCCATACAACTTCGAATCATTTTAGATTTCTCTGAAAGGGCTCAACTCTCACTAAGGATTTTTCTTTAATCTCAATATATAACGCACTCTTCGCCAAGTATTAATGGTTATGCAAATTAAAGAAGGAATCCTCAGTTTTGCTCTTAGTTTAAAAAAATATTTCCTTTCGTGTTATAATTCATATATCCCTAATACAAGTGTATTCACAAAAATAAAACATATATGGTTTGCGGAGTGAAATTTAGCTTATTATTTCTGTCACAGGTTAATACTATTTACTTCGACAGTTTAGTCGCCAAAGGGCTTCCTTTCACTGTTTCCAGACAGATTGAGACAGCTTTTAAGGCGAAAAAAAACGCCAGCCTGTGCTCCAGACAAATCCACTTGGAAAACACCATAAAGCTCCTTATACATAATCTTCAGGCGTGCATCAGCAAACCTCCACCTTACCTTGATAAGCGTTTTATCTACTGCGTCCTATCGAGATCTCACATTCTCCAAGCACGGATTTACTCCGGGGCATCCATCCTCTTCTTTTTTGGAAACAAAATGCGAACCGAGCGATGCTCATCCTTCTTGTAGCCCTCGCCGCAAACAGGGCTAAGACTTCCGTAGTTTTTCACAAGTGCAGTTGAGTTGAAATCGCCCTAAACCGGCCCCCTTGCCCGCAAACAACACAGTTTCTCCAACGGGTTAGTCGCCCTTAAGGATCCGGCAAATATTTCGTATAACGAGATTTTTTTCTTTATCCCGACGCGGTCTTCAATCAGCGTTCGCTATGATCTTGCGGAGTGAGGAACATTTCGTTTGTCTGTCTCGTATAAAAAACGAATATCAGCACAGGGGAGCAAAAAAGAAAAGCAGATGTTTGAAATCATTTTTGACCAAACGAATTCAGATCCAAATCCACGAAGGAGAAATGGGCAGAACGGCAGCCGCAGCGGATAAAACGTGAAAGGGGCATGTTAAGACACTCTCTGAGCGCCCCAGTCTTCAGACTGCACAGCGAGCCTGCACCCCGTATGCAGAAGAAACATCCACACGCACACGTGTATAGTCGTCCTCTGTCCTTCAGTAGCAGAGATATGCAAGCAGGAACGGACATCTTCATTAACTTTTTGCCTTAGAACATTAAGACTTTCATTTTAGTTTATTACGTATGCATTAGAAAAATCCAAACATCTGACATCGATTGGGACTGACTGTACATTGGCGTGGATTAATAGACGAATAATCTCAATTAATTGCAATTCCTGGGAGTTAATTCATAGTTATTTTAATAGCTCCATTGTCTGGTGGGTTATCTGTCTAGGGGCTTATCTGTGTTATGAAGTTTAGAAATATAGTATGTGATAATATATTTATCATTCGGTAGGATGTGACATGTACTGCAGAGTGGGCTGTATGATTATGCAGGGGTTCAGACCAATCCAATTATGTCAGACCTATCCAATTTTTTAGTTCCCCATCACTCACGGGCCCCTGGAATTGTCTTATCCCCCCCCCCAATTTATATATGTGCTCCTGAGTATATGTATACTTAGCTTGTACTATCTCCATTGGTTAAACGTATTTTGATCTAAAGGAAGAAACACTGTAAGTTAAATACTCAGGTGAATGCATTTGCAAATCAGATTGTCTAAGAAGCCTCCTGTGTGATAGTGATGCTCCGGCAGAAAATGCAAGGTGAGAGTTTGATGGGCTTCGCTTCATGGTTTATGTGTCACAGAGCAGATATAAATAAAAATGCCTGTCACATCGCGACCAGGCACGGCAAGGCACACACACACATATATATATATATATATATACACACACACACACTGTATAGCAGGTATGATAATTGCCATATAGAATTCTGCAGTAGGGTGTGTGTGTGTGTGTGTGTGTGAGATGCATCCTAACCAGGATTTACCTTTGCCTTGGCCCATGTGCTGCCTGGGAAGACCCCAGGGCTTATATGAGCCTTTTCAGACTAAGTGCTGGAAGATGAATGGACGGATATTGTTTTTAATTTTATCTCAGTGGACCTGCCAGGGCACAACTTCTGAACCCAGAGTGGGGACCCTACAGTAATAAGCTAATACCTAATATTTGCTGCAGTCCAAATAGGTAGGCGAGTGTGTTTGGTATTGAAAAAAGCGTGAGGATCCCGTTAAGCCACTACAGCTCCACACAGATCTCTCTCCCTGTGAAATCACAAATTAGTTCCCCGCTGGACATATAACTTATTCTTATTTACAGTATGACGGTCATACTAACAGGATCCTCTTTTGCGTAAAAGATCCATTGAGGATGGACATCACAAGGCAGACCATGGAACGCTAATCCAGAGCTCGGTGTCGCTGATTTTAAGAATGATGACACGCCTTTCATGTCAGCTGACCAGATCACAGCAGAACCATCCATACCTGCCTCGTCAATCAGGATTCTACAAGACCCCACTGTCTGGACAGTAAAATCCAGAGCGCATGAATTACAGTCAGGGGCATACCTAGAAATTCTGGGCCCTCTGATGAAATGTCACCTTGCCCCTCCCAATAAAATTCACAATGTTGTGTATTCTGTGGCCCCTGTAAAATGCTGGGCCCCTGGAATCGACCAGGGTATCCATGCCCCTACTGTGTCCCTTGTTATAGTTAAAAAAAATATTTTCAAAAAGGAACATCAACTCGCTTCTGCTGTACCCTTGAGAATATCGCTTTTCTTGAAAATAACCTAGATGTAGGCTGCATACAATAACAATGGGCATTAATGACTCTATACACATTTATCATAATTGTGGAGTAGCGAGTGCTTTTTAACATCAACCTATCAATGTATAAAGGTTGGTGTAAATTGACCTGAAATTCATTGTGTGGCTTGGTTTTAAATTTAGTCATTGGAGGGGCAGGTTGTGACCATTCTGCTGTCCTTGTGCTGCTTGGACGCTGCCAAGGATTTCTTGGGAGGGGGGTCTACAGACCAAGAGCATTTTTTCACTCAGCCCACCTGTTCCTTTGTCTCATTCTCCTTCCTCAAGAAACCCAACTAGATATAAAATTTCACCCCTTTTCCTGTGGCTGTGATTTGCTTGCTTTCCTTTCACTGTCTTTTTTCAATGTCATTCTCTGTTAGCCCCCTTCCTGTCCCGCCCCTATAAGCCAGCAATGGGATTCTCCATCCCTGTGTGTCACAGAGTTTTGTTCGCTGGCCAAACTAAAGCCGGTTTCACAGCCACCTGATGACTGCTTTTTCCTTTGCCTTTCAGCTTGCAGTAGACATTTTCAGACACGCTTCATCCATTTAATGTTTAAGCAGCGCAGAGTAATTCCGCAGAATGCTGTAATGTGTGGACATAGATGCATATTGAAATATCCAGTGGGCCATCTCATCAAATTTGTTTCCAGAAACGTAAATATCACATGCTGATCATATCAGCTTAGTGACTCATTTCGTTTGTGATTATGGGATGCCTATTATTTATTTGATGCATGTTTTTTTACTTGTGTTGTACAGTGCTTCAAAAAGAATCCTCATGATGTCTTAAAAAGTTTGACTTAATTTCATTAATTAGATATTAAAGTCCATTATCCTAGTCAGGATAAACAGTTAGAAGATAGATGGATGGATATAAAGTTTTTTTTATCCTGTTAAATATATAGAGTACAGAAGCTCCTCTACTTACAAACTTTCAATTTTCAAACTTTCAGACATAGGAACGAAGAGGACTGTAAGTCCAAATTGTGTTCCTTGGGCTCCTGTTTCCTGTCCGCAACATCAATTTATTTTTCTGCGCGCCAATTCCTCCTAGTACGACTTCTGGCCGCTACTCCCGCCGCACAGCAGCGTAGCGTGTGTACTCCCAGCATCCTAGTTCTTTGTACTTGTGTATTCCCTTAAAATGATGTTGAATAACGACTTACGAACATTTCAAGTTACGACCGGCCGTTCGGAACGTAACTCATTCGTACGGAGAGGAGCGTCTATACAAAAAATAAAGACTTTTGAGAATATTTAGTAAGAAAAAAAACACTCCTAAACAAATACTAGTTAGTGTGCTTCTCAGTTATGGAAAATAGTTCAAAATCAATACATTTCAACATATTAGGATTTTTTCCAACTACTTAGATTAGATATCTGGCTTTTAAATCACTCCATCTATTTTTTATGGTAAATTAACAAACGAGCACGTGACAATCTATTTTCAGACTTTCTAAACAGAGGTAAGTGGCAAACAGGACAAACCCAATTATCTAGCTTCCATTACAGGGTCACTGGGACCTTGGAAACTTCTGGATGTCTCTCCTCAGCTACAGTCACAAATGAAGTACATGTTCATGTTGAAGTTTGTAGAAGTTTGCATGAAGCACTAACTACAAACGGCATCCGGCAGCAGCCTGGGTTTCCCGGTTCCGCGGAAGGGGGCGGATTGTTTCTGTGAGATGGCTGCCTCTGCACATCCCTGCCTCTTCCTCCTCTGCCTCCTCTGCGTGAAATCGGTGACAAAGACAGAGCATGTCTTAATGTGCGCTTTCACACAACCAGTGCAATTGATCTGTAATTTCCTACTTTGACATTTAACTGGATATCTTATTTACGGTTGCCTCTTCATGATGATTGAATATCACCCTTAAAAAGAGACCAGGTTATTTTTTCCAGTCTCATAGATGCTCAGCTGCACTTAGATGTATTTGTGCGAGGACTGACAGTGCCAAGTCTTGTTTATAACTGCTGCTTATCGTATGATAGATGATTGTGAGGCATATTGGATTGGTCCCCATGTCTCTCATCCTTGTGATTGGGATTTGCCAATGTTTTCCCCTTCACTTTGCACCTGGTCTGTGGCTCAGCAGGTTGGGTCTCTCTGTCTGTGATTAGAAGGTTGCAGAGTCAAATCCCATGCTTGGCAGAATAGTCACATTGCCAGTAGGCCCTATAACAATGACCCTAGCCCCAGAAATGCTCCAGGGCAGCCAAATGAATAATTAAGCCTGCATTCAGACCCCGAGCTTCTCCTTATCTGGGTGTATGTCTCAAAGGAGAGCTCAATCAGATATGTGAAAAGTGGCTTTCTAATGTGCCTGTACAAATGGCAAATAAAGCATGATTTCAGTGACCCCAACGTCAGTCCAAAGACCTTTAACCACCCCCAGCTTACTGCCCCTTTTTATTCTCCCCTAGCATCAACATTGCGCTTGTTTTCCTTGGCTTTTTATACATCACTTTGATTTCTGAAACAAGCATCTTTTTCGCCATTGCTGGGAACTGGATTCTACCTGCTACTGGACTGAACATGGACCAATGACAGCCTAAAATGTGGTTTAATTAATGACACTGGCTGGGAGCGGAATGAGACAATTGCTTTGTATTTTGCTGTAAATGGTTTGATTGTTATGGTGATTCATAAGAAACTACCTGTTTGATTGCATTTCTCTGGCATGTGATAAGTGGCAGTTATTTTCTATTGCACTGTTTATGTGTATGGTGATTTAGTCAGTAACATACATGATTATTTAAATGCTTATTATTGTAACATTTTCAGAAATTTGATATAAAACCACAGACTCCTGAGAGACAGTCTGTTGCTGCTGGCCTCTCTCTCTCTCTCTCACTCTCACTCACTCTCTCTCACTCTCTCTCACACTCACAGACACATACATACAAACCTCCTTCAGTTATACATTCCTACAATCACACATTCACCCCAGCAGAGTAGAGGTACTTGTCTTCTGACCTCTCCCCTCCCAGAAACATCCACCCCCCCCATCTTTCATTCAGCACCACTGCTGTTTTCCTTTTATCGCACAGCTCTTCAAACGGTCTCCATAGAACTGTTAGATCTTTGCTTCCCTTTTTTTAAAGGATTACTTCAAGTCTGCCATGCCCACGCTGGCAATCAAAATGTAATTTTTTTATGAGTCACTATCAGTGGTGGAGGAAGTACTGAAGCTTAGTACTTAAGTAAAAGTACAAGTATCCCGCAAAATATGTACTCAAGTAAAAGTACAAGTGCTACATCAACAATCTTACTTAAGTGAAAGTACTAAGTACTTACTTTTAAATTTACTTTAAAGTATTTTTTTAAGTAAAAGTACTCACACAATGGTTTGTCTCAACGTCTGGGGTGTGCCATTTTGTAAAAGAATAGAATAGTAGATATAC